CTTTCCATCTTCTTTTGATGCTTTTTGCAGCATTCAATATTGTTGTTGTTGTTAAGTGCCATTAAGTCGACTCCAACCCAGAGAGAACCCTTCAATATTGCAAGTTGTGGCTTGAAGTTTTTCTTCAGTTCCCTCAGTTTGAGAAATGCTGAGCATTTTCTTCCCTTTTGGTTTTCTAACTCTAGGTCACTGCACGTTTCATTATAATATTTGACTTTGTCTTTGCGAGCTCCCCTTTGACATTTTCTGTTATCAGTGGGAATCATCAGGTCTGGGATGGTACCTGAGAACCTGTGTTTCTAACAGGCTTCCAGATGTAGAAAGGGGCTAACGCATACTAGCTGGAGTGACTTCTTTCTTTAGATCTGTTAGGCTATTTAGTGCCGCCCTATAGCCATTTTCCCTTTTGCCTACTATTATTCCCTGTCCTTTTTCTACCTTCATGTCAGCTGGTCTCTATAAAGGAGCCCTGGTGGCACAGCAGTTAAGTGCTTAGCTGCGAACCAAAAGGTCAGCACTTTGAACCTACCTACTGTGCTCCATGGGAGAAAAATGTGGCATTCTGCTGCCATGAAGATTAAAGCCTTGGATAACCCTACCAGGCAGTTCCTAAACAGTTCTACTCTCTGTCCTACGAGGTTAAAATTAACTCAATGGCAATGGGTTTTTTGGTGTTGCAGGAACATTTTCCCTCCAAGTTTTCATTCGTCAACATTTTCAAGATGTTACGTTTCGCTATCTCCAAGTAACATTTCCTCAGAGTGAGGCTGAGGTTATGATTATTCTTTTTTAACCCAAGCCTCTTCCAATTTAGACTTGTGAATATCAATCTTGTAGTAGTGTAAAATGTATTTAATTATTCATGAGTCTGACAAGCTCTGCGGTGCTCAATTGATTGGTTGTGTATGTAATTCACTGCCTGAGTTTCTGTCTTGATGTGAGTCCATCTTGAACACCTTGGCTTTTAAGCTGTTAACAGCCATGAAAAAAATCCTTTAATTTGCTGATGTAGCACTCAGTAACCAGATGATTTTCAATTTTCATTATGTCAGCCATGTTTTCAATCCTGTGAACTTTGCAGTCCATCGTGCCTACGTTGGCAGAAATACAGAATTCTATTATAACATTTCCATATCATTTAAAGCTATGGATTAATGGCTTTATAGTGAAACATCTGTGAAATAGAGTCCCAGGCCCTACGTTTTAGTCTTGAGGTTGCTCCTGAACTTGTTTTGCAACTTCTCTCAAACTACACCTTTCTGGGCCTCAGTTGTCTGAATGCAACAGGCTCAGCCAGGGTAAAACACGGCCTCATGACCTGGATAGAATACTAGGCCTTCAAGCCTTATTTTACTTATCCGCAAAAAGGAGTTAATAATATCTACCACCTGATAGTTATTGGGCTGATTGAAGGAGATCATGAATATAAAACACCGGGTGACTGACAACAGTAAAAAATCAAAGCTATTTTCATCATTTGGAAACAAGATCTAGGCAGAATCACTTAAAATAAGTAGGAATGTTATTCTTTAAATTCACTGAAAAATAGAACCAACATGACCTCCCCCAACCCGGCCTGGGTTGAGTTTGTCGTTTTATTTCTATCCTAAGAAATCGGGGCTCTCAAATCTCATGGGCATTAACACTAAATGGATGAGGGCGGATAGGAAGGTAACCAAATATGTTACCCTCGGTGAGATAAAAACTATTTCCAATTATATTGATTTCCCTTCTAACTCAATTTGTCATTAAGTATATTTGGAGCCCTGGTGTGGCGCTGCAGGTTAATGCACTGGACTGTAAGGCCGGTTTGAACCGCAGTGTCGGCGGTCAAGCTCACCAGCCGCTCCTTGTAAACCCTATACAGGTTCGCTGTGAGTCCGAACCGACTCGATGGCACGTACACAACAAAATTCATTTAAGAATTCATCACTCGTTGCACTCTTCCACAACTTCTCTGTTGAGTGCACTGAATTGCAACCTTGTATGTAGAATTGTTTCACACATTCGGAAATGTGCTTGTAAAACTCATGTGACCATATCTGAGAAGAGGTGTACCGACTTGGGCATTGAGCCAGAAGCCACCGGCTTTAGGGAAGAAAATGTGTATACAAGGTCATCCGTTCCCTCCCTAAAAGGTACACTTGAGAGGGGTTATGTGTTCCTTGAAGATGTAGAAAAACTCTTGTTCTCATTCTTTCCGGACTCACGTAGCTCCGTTGAGTTTCTAGTCCATGGTCAGAAATGGGGCTTCTTTGAACCTGCTCATGTCATAAACTGGCTGAGTCGGGCAGTTTCTGGCCTCCGCCCAGCCCGACTCCTTTTTCTGTCAGGTGCCCCTTCCCTTGCAGGCGCCTAGCTTTCCGACTGCTCCCTTGTCCTGACCCCGTTTTACCCCTCGGGCCCCCTCCGGTGCCATCTGTCTGGAACCTTGGAGAGGAACTAAAAGTTGGACCTAGTCACCCCTACTTGCAGGGGCAGTTTGGGTGGGTAGGTGGGAAAAAACACTATAAGGAAAAGTGAAGACGGAAAACGGCGCCGTAGCCCTGCCAGCCCTGTCCGCGGCGGACTGGCCCGCGCTCCCGGGCGCTCGCCTCTTCCCGGAGGCTCGGCCCCTTCCGCCAGCCCGCACCCAACGCCGGCAGAGTCCCTTATCTCCCGGCGGCGGCGCGGGCCCGAGTGCATCGGCCACAGCCAGGGTCCAGAGCAGGGCCGAGGGGGCTGCCGCCGCGTCGGGGGTCAATCCTGGCGGATCCCCGGGGTACGGCTCCTGCAGCTGCGCGAGCGAAGGCCCGGCTCTGCTTTCAGTTCCAACAGTGAAGCAGGAAATCCAAGGCAAAGCCGGGCTCCGGCGGGCGCAGGGAGGCAGGAGACGTGGAGCCGGGCGCGCGGCTGGAGCGCTCGGAGCGGCCGGCGGACTCCACGCGGCGGGCGGGCCTGCGGGCGCGCTCGGGCCGCCCCTCCTCTCGGCGCCGCCGGCTGCGGCCCAGGCTCCCTCGCTCCGCCACTCCCCGCCTTCCCCGCCCTCCCAGCTTCCCCGCCTTCTTCCCCTCCTCCCCCTCCCGGCCTCCCTCTCCCAGCCAAACTGCAAGCCGGACCCCAGGCCGCCTCCTGCCGCCGCCTCGCTGTCCTCCCGCGAGCGCTCCACCATGGGTAGTCCTCTTTTCACCTTATAAAGATGGCGGTGCGGGATCGCTGCAACCTTTAGACTAATGACTGTCCGAAACATCGCCTCCATCTGTAATATGGTGAGTGGCCACCGCCTCGGTGGTCGCGCCCGAGGCGCGGGGAGGCAAAGAAAGGGAAACCTGAGCTGCACACGCGCCCGGCGGCGGGGGGCTGTGGCGTGGGGGGCGAGGGGGCGGCGGGTCCGCGGGTCCAGTCCGTTGAGCCGCGGAGAGAAGTTCCCGGCCCCGGGGCTGGGCTGGCCGGCCGCAGCCCCTGGAGCGGCCGTGGGAGGGGCCCGAGCCCCCTACCCCCTTTTCAAGCCCCGGACCCCGGGGCCAGCCGGCGCCGCCGGGCCCCCGCCCTCGGGGTGCGGTGGAAGCGGTTTGAGAGGAGCGAGAGGGGGAGGCGGAACCCGGACGTCCCGTGGGAGGGGGTTGAGGGATAAGCTGGGGGGGGGGGTGGGGGGTACACATCTTATCCTTGCGTTAAGTAAATCCCTGCTGGACCCCCTGACCTCCCTCATCTCATTTTGAGTTCCGATGTTAGACGGAATTTAAAATTCTCTTTGCAGCCGCAGTGTATCTTGAGAAATTTGAAATGTAATAAAGCTGTAAAAAAAAAAAAAAGTGCAAAATTGTGGTTAGGGAAGTGAACTTCAACCTGGTGTGGGAAAGCAAGGTGATTTGTTCTGGCTGCCTCAGTTTCCCCATCAAAGAAAGGAAGACAAGCTTATAAGGTAGTAACATTTGGAGGTCCTCTGTGTGGGGTGGCTGTGGGTCTGGAGGAGGTTTCCAGGGTCCTCCTACCTGCTCCAGTGTACACCCAGTGAGGACTGGTGAGCACAGACCTAGGAAGTGGACATCACTCGAGCTCTAGTGGGGTCAGGGTTCATGATGAGGTAGGTGGTCACTTTATATTGGGTCTCTCATTGCTCTCCTTTCAGTTTTCTGCAGGAACATCATCCTGTCCTTGGGTCTTTCCTGGCACCACTTGTGGGAGTCTTTGGGAGTGTTGCTTGACCCTCAAGGTGGTAGTGTAGTAGGTTAAGCCTTGGGTGGGAACCACACAGTCGGTCATCAGTTCAAACCCACCAGCTGCTCTTTAGGGAAAAGATGAGAATGGCTACTCCTATAAAGATTTACAAACTTGGAAACCCTATGGAGTAGTTCTACCCTGTCTTTGTAGGGTCCTGAATCAACTCGACAGCAGTGAGTGATAGTGGCGGGGGCTATGGTCCATGTTAGAAGGCATTGCCTCTCCTATGCATTGGGTGAGGGTGTGCAATTTGCCTTCACTCTCTAGCTTCTCCCTCAACCATGACCTGGCCCCGTTTCCTTCTGCTTCCTTGGAAGCAGGCTTAGTTAGTTTTTTGGACCAGTGCATTTAAAAAAAATTCTTCAATAATCTTTCAACAGTTCATCATGTTTTTCAACCATCCCCATTTTTTTTTTTTTCCATCACCCTTAACACAAGCTCTGTGTCCCCTAAGAAACGTACTATTTTAACTCCAGTTTTTAAAAAACCTACTTGAAGCTAGAAATTGTTGTTTTTAAAAGCTAGTAATGTTTACCCCTAAAGGGAATCAGGGTCCTGATGTGGCACTGCAGGATAATGTGCTGGACTGCAAGGTCAGTTTGAACCACAAGGTCGGCAGTTGAAACCCACCAGTCGTTCCTCAGAAACCCTATACAGGGTCGCTATGGGTTGAATACTGGATGGCACTTAACAACAACGGGAATCTGAGGAACTTGGCTGAGAAGCCTTGGGGTAAGGTGATCTGACTGCCCTTCCCCCATACCAGGGCTTTAAAATCTTCTGTTCCACATTCTATTGAAAGATCAACACATGGCAAAGGAGCATTAGGGAAGCATGTGTTAGCTCAAGGGTGGAATTGAGACTTACTGATACTGGCTTCAATTTTCAATCTTGTTGGACGTGGTCACTACTATAGCCAGCAGAAGAAATACTAGGTCTTGTCTGAATGAGTGTTGCAAAGGTATTGGAGTGGGGAGAGTTAGATGTGGTGGGTGGCTTTTGGAACCTTTCCCTTTCCTCTTCCACCCTCCCTTCTCCACATGGAGACAGTGTCCTGCTCCTTCACATCCAATGGCATTCATGTTGCCTGGTGCTGTGAAAAGGAGATGCCTTTCTACACGGTTTCTCTTTCAGCTCTGATCAGTTCCTGAGGGGAACTGTGAAACCAGAGCAGCTCTCATACTCTCTCTCATGCCTGCTGGGGTGGCCTTAGGCCTGCCAGGCCCCTGCCAGCCCTCAGTTGGTGACACCTCGCTTCACTGATGCAGGATGGAAACTTGAAAGCCAGCATGTCCCAAGAGGAAGCCAACCTCTAGCATTTTTTTTCCTCCTCTCTTCAGTGCAGCTGGGACTTCTTGGCACACCTGGGCGGAATGTCACAACCTGTTTTCAATAAAACTGAAGCTCAAAGCCTCAGCTGGGGAGGTTACAAGAGGACTAGGTCAATGCTGTTGCAGATCTAGCTTTTGTCGGTTGTTTTTAAGTGCCATAGAGTTGGTTCCGACCCATAGCGACACTTGTATAGAGTTTCCTAGGAGTGACTGGTGAGCTCGAACTGCCAGCCTTGCAGTTCAAACGTCTTTGCAGTCTGGCGCATTAACCCACAGCACCGCACTGGAACTCCAAGTTTTGCGGATGGAGACCTTTCAAAAGCTGCTAAAGTTAGCGTCATCACCCAGGAAAAGTGAGGAACCCATAATTCTTAAGTAAGGGAGTGTTGTGTTCTGATTTGGACACTGTTTTGAGCAAGTGATAAAGAGTTTGGGTTCTGATGTCAGCCTTTCTGTGTGCTAGCTTTGTGTTCTGTCTCGTATTCTTATGGGTATGATCTCGGTTAGACTATTGTGCTTCTGCTAGTGTGAAGGAGTTGTTACTGAGGTACTGGTGCTAGTACACAGCGAGTTCTTACTAAGTGTTGGCTGTTATTGTCAATGTCATCTTCCTCATTGTTACATCACTTTCCAATTGTCTAAAAGGACTGGAGCTACTAGTATAAACTACCCACCTGTTCATTTATGCAAACCAAGCTGAGTGGCAGTGTAAACAAAGGGCTGGGTGGGAAGCCCTAGCCCCGCCCCTTATAAAGGCTGCTCTGGTCACTCCTGTCCCGCCCCTTCTCACTTCCCACTGGAGAAGGCTGGGTGCTGAACGACGTTGCTGTCTTTCCACCTGATCAGACGGAGGTATTCATTGGACTCCTCTTGTTTAATGATGAATTGTTTCCAGGTAGGTCTTTTATGGGTCGTTGCTACTGCTGCTGCGTGGCGGCGAGTCGGTTCCCCCTCATAGAGACCCTGTGTAGGATTTCCGAGGCTGTTTTTCTGGGAGTAGTAAGCCTTAGCTTTCTCACTTGTAGTGGCTGGTGGATTTGAACTGCTGACTTTGCAGTTAGCAGCACAATGTGTAAGCCATCATGCTAGCAGGGTTCCTTTATGGGTCTGCTCCTTGGAAACGATACAGGGTCGCTATGGGTTGGAATTGACTTGACGTCACTTAACAACAACAACTCTTAAGTTTAACTGTTCTCTGAGGCTCTTAACCATTGTTCCCACTCCTTCTGTATGGCATATTTTGAATATGTTGTGTATCTAGGAACAGAGGTAAATGTTAAAAGATACCATCCTGTGGGTGAGATAGGAACAAACCAAGGCTTAGTTGCCTTCACCAGGCAAGAAAGGACCAAACAGAATAAGCACACACATTTATAGTAGATTGTTTCATAAGCTTGAGAAATAAACACATTTTCTTTGCCCCCACCTTCTCTGGGGCTTGTTCCTGGGACCTTGGAACTTACTCACATCCTTTCCTCTCTTCCCTTCCCCATGAAAGTTTTATTGGCCACTGGAAGTATATATAGTCCTAGCTCCTGTTGTTTTTACTTTTTCTTCCATGTCAGTTCCTGCCGTAGTCAGGATGAACTTGCTTAGGGCATACCAGCTTGGCCACACAGCAATGTCAGTGATAGTAAAGCTTGTTTGGCTGGTGTGTTGTAATTTTCAAAATGCTCTAGTTGCTACCAAACATGAGGAAATGTCCCCTGTTGATAATCCTCTGATTTTTGTCTAGACCAATAGATTTAACTTCCTACGTATTCTTATCACCCTATAAATGGAAGGCCTTTCTTTTCTTTTTAAGTTTTCCTTTTGAAGAGCTTGAGGAATTTTTAAAAGAAGCAGCATTTGCTAAGAGAAGGCAAATGTGCCTTCTAGAAATATGACATGGACCCATGCAAATTGGTCTAAATCATCTGGTCTTCATTTCATTTGTTAATGGGACTGTGTAAGGCACTGCAGGTTAATGCTCTGGACTGCAAGGTCAGGTTGAACTGCAAAGTTGGTGGTCCAAGCTCACAGCCGCTCCTTGGAAACCCTTTATAGGGCTGATATGAGTCGAAACCGACTGGACATGCATTTAACAATAACAACAGCAACAACACGGTGTACCTCAGAGGAAGTACTGCATATCAAGTAGATTACAAGTGATGTTCCTTCTACTTGAGACTTTTATATGAGGACGTGATTATAGTAAATGCAATTGTGAATTGGCAGCTGTAGCATTGGGTGTCTCCTCAGTTGAGCCACGAGTGTTACTAATTACCTTTGGTCAAATTATTGTATCTTAGGACCTTAGTTTTTCTCAGGGCTTCTGTGTGGAACAAATGATTAATGCATCTAACCAAGTCGGTGGTTGGAGTCCATCAGAGGTGCCTTTGAAGAAATGCCTGGTGATATATTTCATAAAAACCAGCCATTGAAAACCCCTTGGAACTCAATTCAATTTTGACATTCATGGGGTTGCCAAGAGTTTGGATATTTTTTTTTTTCCTTTTTAGTCTTTAAAAGCTTTTTAGTAAGTAGTGTTTCTTTATTCTACTTAATTGGCTAACAACCACTTTTGTGCCTAACTACCCAGTTGAAAACGGTGTCCTGCTTTCACGATATTAACCTTTTAGGCACTAGTTGAATGCTAGATATGAATTATTTTAAATAAATGAAGTCAAATGAAAGGAGAGTTAGAAAAAAATTTGGAATGAACCAAGAGAGTT